GGAAAGAAAAGATAAACTCACCTCTGATTTACCAATTTACGTAAACAGCCCAGAAGATGCACTGAAACAATTTGACAAAATAAATCATGCGCTGCAACGGAGGAGCCTTCATTTCTCGAGTAAATAACATTTGTAAATATTTAGCAGCTGAATTCAGAAATGCAGGACCGGGGAGTTAAACTATATCATCTGGGCTAAACGCACTGCAGTGATCTAAAGGGTCATTTTAAAAATGGAAAAGGCCGATGAGGGCGGTTATAATCAAAGGGCTACACGTTTCTTTAATCTGGCCTTAGCTACATAGTTACCGAGTCAGATGTATTTTCTTCCTCCTTTCTGCTCTTCCAGGGTCTGTTTTTTTCTAAAAGGGCTTTGTGTGTCTGCCAAGTAACTTTGCAGAAGCCATCAGCAGTCAGATTAATGGGCAATCAATACTCGGTGCATTGAGGAGCCATTAGCATTGGGAAAAAAACAGTTATTCAACTGTCTCCTGTGACAGCTATCTCATGAAAGTCTTTCCTTTCCTTCCCCCCCACCCCCATCTCCTCTCTTCTTCTCCCGCCCTCTCTCTCCTGTATATATCAAGCAGCGTACACAAGGGAGAGGCCATGCTAATGTCATTTTGCCGAGTGTGCATTAATAATAGTTTCTTTTGTTGGCAGCTTGCCATTATTGTACCGGGAGATGTATGATGATTGTTATCGCAGCAGACTAACATCCAGATGCTTCTGAAAGGGCTCAAATCCCTTTGCAGCCAGGGCAAGGTATCTGATGTCACCAGACTAAAAGATGCCTAATGCCCGTCTGTCATCTCTCTCTCTCCTTCTCTCTCTTGCTCTCTCTCTCGGTCCTTTGTTTTTATAACCTTTATCTAACTCCTTTGTTCTGACCTGCACTCTCTTGCGCTTCATCCTTTCTAGAATATGAAACCGCTTCCACAGAAATCGTTGTTTTTATTTCCTGGCCTTTTATTAAAGAAAATGCTGTATGTATTTTTATATATAGGTTGCAATTAAAATAATCCTGGCTTTTGATTCAGCAGCTTATCTGGTCAACAGGATGTCTCAAAGCGCTTCACAGGATTCTACTGTAAAGTGGAGTGACTGTGTGTATTTTGTGAGCTATGTACATTGCACCTTTCACGTCAGGAGGACATTTCAAAGCACCTCACAGTGCTAGCTGGACACCAGGGCTGGGAAGGGAGGGGAGGGTGGTGGTGTAGTGGGAGACGAAGAGGGTGGGGAACGGGATGGATGACCGAAAGTACGGTTAAAGAGGTAAAGTTTTTTGGGGGAGTGCTTTGAATTGAACGTGTGGAGGAAGGGGAATGGGGCAAATTGAAGAGACTCAAGGATGGATATGCTGTATAATAATAATCCTTACATTTATTACAGCGTCTTTCATGTCAGAAGGACATCCCAGAGTGCTAGACAGGATTTACCGTAAAGTGGAGTGACTATGTGTTTTGTGGGCGAAAGCCATTGGGGACACTACCATTATATGGGATATATATTAACAAAAACACAGAAAATAAGGGATATGAAAATGCATCAATTTGACGACACGTGGCATTTTCGGAGTATCCCTTTTAATGAAAATCACTAAATCAAAGTCATGCTTAGCCTCTTGCCATCACTTCTTGTGTTTCATGTTCTTCATTACACAGCCCGGTGACTAGATATTGCTCATTCCTCCTGTGTGCATGATCAATTTGCTATACATGCCAAACTATTTGATGGATAATAAATTGCAGCTAACTACAAGGCTCACTTTCCCCTCTTAAAGGGGTTTAGTTGAAATAAAATCAATACTTAGGCATACTTAATTATTTGTAGGGTTTTTTTTTAAGTCTTAAAGGGGTCGCAGGTGACCTTGTCGTAGGGCCTGCTATTCAGGCTGCTCATATTAATGGTTGTCGCTCTGCCTTTTTATTCTCTTCTTCAATACTGCTGCACCAGTGTGCACTGCAATAAACACATCTCTTTTTAATGGTAGAGTCTCAATAACTACGGTGGGGAAAAATGCTGCAAGTTTTTCCCCAAAGACAGTCATACCTTGTAGATTACTGTAGAGTACTGGTCAGAGCACTCGTCTTGCAAGCGAGAGGACCCAGGTTTGATTCCTGGGCAGTGTGAAACATTAAGCAAGTTTTCCCACTCCACACACCTCTGTTTACCTAGCAGTAAATAGGAACCTGGTTGTTAATCAATTTCCAGGGGTACTAATCCCTTCAAAAATATATATCGAGAATAAGAATTTGGTGCGCAATTGGCTGCCGCATTTTGCCCATAAACATAATCAATTCATTCTACAACATATTCTGTGAAGTTCTTTCAGACATGTCAATAACGTGATAAGGTGCTATATCAAATGAAAGCATTATTAATATAATGCGTAGATGTTGCTGACAACAATGTTACTTCACAGTGAAGCAAAAGCTGACCGTTCAGTTTCATGTCTCATCCAAAAGCCAGCACTTCCAACCAGGCAACAGTGATGCCTCAAAGAGTGCTTCCAATTGAGTCAGCCTGACTCTGTAAAGGCATGAGCCTCTCTCAGTTGGCAGTTTCGCTTCCAGGTTGGAAGATAGTGGGTTCAAGTCCACACTGGTAGTACTGGAGAAGGGTACATTGTTAGCATTCCTAACTTTTGGATAAGATATTAAGCTGAGGCTCATCTGCTCGTTCATTGGTTAACAGGTTCAAAGAGAGATGAGTTTCTCCCGGTGTCCAAAACTACTGATTGTACAGCGCCCTGGGACGTCTTTCTGACATGAAGGGCGCTATACAAGTGTAATTTGTTGTTGTTGTCCTGGGCAGCAATGCTACAGGAAAATTGGACATTCGTTTCATGGCTGTTTGTTGGACGCCGTGTTTCGCAACAAGAGCAGTCATCGCAACTATGTAGATTTTTTTAAAAAATTTCGAGCTGCTAACTTGCAATCAAAAAACCTTAGTTCGGAGGAAAGCAATGTGTTTTTGGTTAACTATGTTTGCTAAGAGTTGTTTGCGACCAAACAAAAGGATTGACTCAATTATATCGCACTACAGTAAAACGGCAGCCTTATTAAATAAATCATACACACAGAAAACAAATCAGACTATCACTCACTAACTCACAATCTCACTGACACTCCAGCATCTTGTCAGAGGCACCATCCTTCACATGAGACGTTAAAGGGGCATAATCTTAAAATTAGAGCTCGGCCAGGAGTGAAATCAAGAAGCACTTTTGCAGACAAAGGGTAGCGGAAATCTGGAACTCTCTCTCCTAAAAAGGCTGTGGGACTGGATCCATTCACGTTTTTAAGACTGAGGTGCATAGATTTTTGTTAGGTCAGGGTATCAAGGGATATGGGGCAAAGGCAGATATTTGGAATTGACGTACAGATCAGCCATGATCTAATAGAATGGCAGAACAGTCTTGAGGGGTTTATATGTTTATATGTTTCTAAATAAACCAAGGTCCCGTCACTTGTTCAGGTGGATGTTAAAGATTCGAGATGTAAAGGGGTTGCTCCCAGTGTCCTGCCCAACAATCTCTCCCAAATAAAATTGGTCGATCACTCTATGACTATTTGTGAAATATTGCTGGGTGTAAATTGCCTGCTGCGTTTGCCTATGAATACACAATCACTACATTTTACCGTACATCTTTGAAACATTTCAACAACGTGATAAGGCGCCATATCAAACATAAGATTAATTATTATTGTATTATTATCAGCCACAACCCACTGCTGAGAGTTTAAAAGGTCCTTATTTATTGTTTCTCTCGCAGACCACTCTCATAAACGCAATGAAATTACAGAATGAAATTAAATTGAAATGTCTGGCTTCAGTGTGGCTTTGCTTTGCTGATCACACTCTTTTCTCATAGAAACATTGAGTATTACAGCACAGAAGGAAGCCATTCAGTCCATCGTGTCTGTACCGGCTATTTGGAGGAGCTACCTAATTAGTCCCACTCCCTGCTCTTTCCCCATATCCTTGCAATTTTTTCCTTTTCAAGTGCTTATCCAATTCCCTTTTGATAGTTGTTATTGAATCTGTTTCTACCACCCTTTCAGGCAGTGCATTCCAGACCGTAACAACTCTCTGTGTAAAAACATTTCTCCTCATCTACCCTCTGATTCTTTTGCCAATTATCTTAAATCTATTTACCCTGGTAACCGCCCCACCTGCCAGTGGAAACAGTTTCTCCCAATCTACTCTTTCAAAACCGCTTGTATTGCTGAACACCTCTATTAAATCTCCCATTAACCTTCTCAGCTCTAACGAGAACAATCCCAGCTTCTCTAGTCTCTCCACAAAACTAAAGTCCCTCATCCCTGGTACCATTCTGGTAAACCTCATCTGCACCCTCTCCAAGGCCTTGATATCTTTCCTAAAATTTGGTGCCCAGAATTGGACACAATACTCCAGCTGTGGCCTAACCACTGACTTAAAGGCATGATGTAACATCCTTGCTTTTGCACTCTATGCCTCTATTTATAATGCTAAGGATCCCATATGCTTTTTTTAACAGCTCGATCAACCTGTCCTACCACATTCAGAGCCCAGTGTATGTGAACCTCCAGGTCTCTCTGCTCCTGAACTCCCTTCTCACTCTTTCTTTTACTCTGTATCATCAATCCTCATAATATAATGTGCCCTATCAAATGCAAGAATTGTAATAACTTGGATGATCCTATTTTACCTATAAGGTGAATGCTGAATGTAAGATTGAAGTCCCACAAAGGATGGTATCCCCAACAATACTCCCTCCTCCCCCACTCGCAATGCAATGGAACATCAATCTGGACTGTATCAGTTCACGTTCCCAACGTGGGGTTTGAACCTCAAACCTTCTGATTCAGAGGCAAGGCTGAGTGAGCCAGGCTGACACACCAACACTGTAAAAATCTGAGGCTGGTTGCACATTCCCTCCTCAGCAAGAATAATGCAATTCACAATTACACAGTATTTGATGGGTACAAGAGAGAAAGGTGCAGGACTCACGTGTTGCCAGTCATCCAGAATGATGGGCTTGTACCTCAGGAAATATTTAAGCGGAATGGCATCTGGTTCAGGCCACGATGGGGGGTTCTGCCACACCACCACCATCCTTTGGGGGGACTCGGGAACCGGATTGACGTTAATTATCTCGGGAGGATCTGGTTTCACTGGGAAGAGAAGGGAGACAAATCAGCTTAATGGGCACTTGATTTCACACCTACCTCCACAACCTTCGCTGAAAATTAAGCTTCCTTCGCACAGGGTAGCAGTCTGAGATACTAGAACAACAACTAGCATTTACATAGCGCTCCTCACACAGGATAGCGTCCCAGAGCGATACTCTTGTGGAGTCCTGTAGTGTATTGGTTAAAGCACTCGCCTCGCATGCGAGAGGATCCGGGTTCAATTCCCGGGCAGAGCGAAACCCGAGGCAAATTTCTTTACTCCACACAAATCTGTTTACCTAGCTGTAAGCAGGAACCCAGTTGTTGGTCGATTGGTGGATCGCTTTCCGGGAATAAGAATCCCTTTAAAAAATAAATAAATAAATTTGGCTCAATCGGCGACTGTTTGTGGGACACTGTTGTGCGCAATTGGCTGTCGTGTTTCGTGCGCAAAATAAACAGTCAATTCACTTTATAGCATATTCTGTGAAGCGCTTTGAGATGTCTCAACGACGTGGTAAGGCACAATATCAAATGCAAGGATTATTATTATTATTATTATATGCGCTTTAACCTCGGGAATTCCCTGCCTCAACCTCTGTATTTTCTCCCGACGTGAAAGGCACTATACAAATGTAATCCCAAGTTGTTGTTGTTGTTTTGCCACTCTTCATCTATCTCTAAATGGCACCTTGAGACCTAACTCTTCAACCACACCTATGATCACCTTCCGCTCCCGTTTCTCCCTTGCTCAGTGTCCAACACCACCACTGCACAGTGCTCCGAGACACTATTGTTGTCATTGAAATGGGACATCTCATAGGAACTCTTGTAGAGGTTTATACGATTACGAATGGGATTGAGAAACTCATAACAGTACTTTCATATACTGACATTCACATTTAAGAAACTACAGAAAAACGTCTTAATAATTATAACAATCCCTGCATTTGATACAGCACCATAATCACATCACCGAGACATCTCAAAGCGCTTCACAGGATTTGCAGAGGTAGGAAATACTTTGGAGGTATTTTTTGGGTCAACCGGGTGCCTGATACATTCAGAAACCCATCACCATGCTTCAGAGTATCCAAACCAGACTGTGAGTTCCATGCATCCCACCTGGAATGGAATGTGCACTCTCTTTGCTGGAGGAATGCACTCTGTTTACTTAAATCCACGGACTATTAGGCACACATTGGCGCTAACAAAGGCTTGGGGAGCCAGAGTGTTCATTGGGGTAACTGCTGAAGTTTGACTAATTAATATCACACAGCTTGCCATTGAAAGCACTGTCTGGCTAGTTTCTCGCCTCTTGTCCATCTAAAACAACTCTAACCATTAGGACTTGTCTTGCAGGAATAACAAGTGTCAATAACAGTTTGTCCCTCCATGACTTGCCGACGAGCCAAGCCGATCCTTAGGCTCAGCTCCTCAGCTCAGCTCTAAGGAGATCCTGCTTACCACCACCCACCCATTCCCCTGCCCCCGCACACACACAGCATCTCAATGAGTTAGGAGGAGCATTGTGAAACTAACCAGGACTTCCTAAGGATATTACAGCTGCCTCAATGTCCTGTAGCACGTCCAATGATGGAAAACAAACTTAGCACCAATAAGTGAAACATGATCCAAGGCAATTTGCCTTTAATGTGCTACTCACTTTGAACAGTGCATTAAACACAATGGAAAGCAACCCACGTAAAAAGAAAATACGTTTTCAAAGGGGAAAAGAAAAATGGCCTAATGTCATACTTTGTAGATTTCGGCAACTAATTGATCCCTTACTGAAACCCTGCGTTCAAAAGTTCAGGATCTCAGCAGTCAGTCACAGTCAATTTTACTCCCAAATACAAAGTTGATCCCTTCCTGTCAATGTATTTCTCTGACCTGGTGACGCAATGAGCTGATCAGATAATGGAACATCCATGGTTGAGATCTAACATGAGATTGTGTGTGTGAGGGGAGAAATAATCCATTATGAGCAGAAGGAGCAACATAAACTATGTTATAATAACAAGAATCAAATGAAGATGTTCAATCAGAGATTTTGAAGCAATCGGTGGGGCTTAGCTTAAACGTCAAAAGGACAAAGTCCCCATTGGGAAAACAACACTGCAGGTTATGAGAAAAGAGTAGAGAAGTGGATCTGGAGTAGTTCGTTTCAGGGAAAGACCTCCAACCAGCACAATTTTGGGAACAACATCAGCAGCCATGCCTTCAGCCACGACCCCTAAATCTCCAGAACTCCCTGTCTCGATCTCTCTGGCCGCTCCCACTTTGTCTGGCTTCCAATTGCACCTGAAGACTTTCCTCTTCGATCATGCCTAGAGTCACTTCCCTTTTCTCCCTGGCTTGGCATCATTCTTCAACTCTGCCATTCTTCAGCACTCTAGATGCCACCTCGTGTGAAGGGCATTGTTGTTATTGTTGATGGATCTCTCAAAGCTTTGACCGGGAGAATCCGATTAAGTACTTATGCCCCAATGTACACGCTGGTGTTCCCCTAAACCTTAGCTCTCGTAAACCTGTGCTTAATACTCTCCAGAGTTAGATCGCCATCCCCCGATAGAGAGAGCGTGCGCATTCCATTGCAGATTTCCATGCGTAGGTGGCATGAGAGTGTCTAAACTAGACTCTAGGTTTGGTTTAGATGCTCTTGAGCATGGTGACGGATTTGCGGATGTCAGATCAAGCAAAAAATATATATTTTTGCCACGTCAATGCTTCTCTGAACTTACCTATGGTTTCCTCTTTGAACGAGATGGAGGTGGAATTGGATCCCAACGAGTTCCTTGCAACGACTGTCACTGTGTACTTACTCGCGGAAAATAATTCAACGAACTTCACGTTGCATCTGTTCTTGTGCTTGTCGTCTCTAATAAACTCAATTTCCTTTTCTCCATGCCTGTGACACAAAATTGCACATCAGTCAGGACAGATTAAACCGACCATTCCTCTCGAACACAAAACGGAGGGATTGAGCGGGAGAGTTTCAAAGCTTTGGGGTGTAGTCATGACAACCAGGCTGGACTATGTGACCTGCTTGTCGGCCTTCCCAACTCTTCCCTCCACAACCTGCAGATCATCCAGAACTCTACAGCTCGTATCCTCTCCCGCACCAGACTCCGTGACCCCATCACCCCCTCCCTTGCCAGGCTCCTCTGGCTCCCCATCCCTCAGAGGATCGAGTTCAAAATTCTCGTCCTCACCTACAACGCCCTCCATGGCTTTGCCTCCTCCTACCTCTCCAACTTATTAACCCCTTATAAACTGGTCCACTCCCTTCGCTCAGCAGGCTCCGGCCTGCTCCATGTCCCCCGCCCAGCCCTCCTCACCATCGTCAGTTGGGCCATCAGCTTCTCTTCCCCCACCCTCTGGAACTCCATCCTACATTCCCTTCACCTCGCTCCCTCCCTTGCCTCCTTCAAGGCCCGCCTCAAGACCCGCCTCTTCGACCGTGCCTTCAGCCATCCTCCTACCCTCTCTGCCCTCTCCCCCCATCCACTCCTGGGTTGTAATCCCTGATGTTCAGTGCTTTGGGACGTCCTCCCAATGTAAAAGGCGTTTACAAATGTAATTTTGTATTGTATTGTATTGTATTGTATTGTATTGGTTGAAAGCACGGTTGCCGATAGTGGAGCGGAGGGGACTAGGGATGAGCAGGAGGCCATCTTACGAACATCTTGCCAACACTGGCCATCTAAATAATGATCCTTGCATTTGATTTCAGCGCTGTTCATTCCCAGAGGGCGTCTCAAAGCACTTCACAGGAAGAATGGTGAAGTTTTGATGTCGATTCATTTTATTATGAAGCGCGCGACTGCATAATTGTAGGTATAGGCGGCAGCTAATTTACGCTTAGCAACATCCCAGGCACAGCCATGAAATCAATGACTAAATTTTACTTGGGAGATTTTTGGCCAGGACATCAGGAGAACCCCATTTCTGTTTTCGAGTAGTGCCTTGGGACGAAACTTAACTCAATTGATTTAGCAACACAGCTCAACATCCTGTTTGGCTGGTTTATTGCTGCCTCATGCTGTTTTGACAGTGAGCGAACGACAAATCAAGCAACACCCCTAGATCGCTTTTAGCTTCCCCTCTAGAAAGTTCAATCCCAGCCACATGTTTTCTATTCTTACTTCCTATATGTAGTACTTCGCACTTTATATTTTGGTATCGCACCTTATCACGTCAGGAGGATGTCCCAAAGCACTTCACAGGATTTACTGTATAGCATAGTGAGTGTAGAATACAGTCAAACCTGTTCAAACAACCACCTCCATTCAGCAACCACTCTCTGTTAATAATCACACAGGAACAGCATGGACACAATCATGCACACACCAACGAACCCTTACCCATAGGCACCCTCATATAAAGGCCATGGGGATATTCAGAACAAGGCGTAATAATCTTAAAATTAGAGCTAGGCCATTTAGAAGCGAAACCAGGGAGCATTTTTTCATACAAAGGGTCATGGAAATCTGGAACTCTCTGCCCCAAAAGGCCATGGATGCTGGATCCATTCAAGTTTTCAAGACTGAGGTGGACAGGTATTTGTTAGGTCAGGGTTCAAGGGATATGGGAGATACAGGATATGGAGGTACAGGTCAGCCATGATCCAAAAGGATGGCAGAACAGGCTCGAGGGGTTGAATGACCTACCCCTGTTCCTATGTTCCTATGTGGTCCAGTCTCCTTGAGAGGTTGTTGAAGACAGCTTTGACTGTATTTGGGTTCCAAGTCCTGACATGGGGCTTGAACCTACAACCTCTGACTCAGAGGCAAGAGTGCTATCCACTGAGCCAGGTTGACACATGGAGTAGAGTGGGGAGGATGGGGGTTACAATTTCCATGCAGTAAACTCCATGTAAAAATAAAACAATGCTCTCATGGCTTTTTTTTCATATCCTTTTAAAATATAAAGTGGGGCTACACTCCTCCAGTCAGGAGAAACATCAGAAGAAACCTAACCTGGAGATCATTGAGCTTTCTGCGGTTGCCTGTAAATGTAATATGGATATCAGTGTAGCTGCAGAATGACCTTGATGCAGCAATTTGCATTGAAATGCATTTAGATCCTTGGCACCAGATCAGCTTCAAATGGAAATGAACATTTATATGTATAATTCAAGCTCAGAAACCCACAGGCTAATGATCATCTACCAGACTGCACACTAACAGCAGACAGCAACGGTGCATATATGAACACTGCTCTGCATTACTTTCCCATTAGCTTGGAGAAAGGTTGGGTGGGGGGTGGGGGGGGGGGGTTGAAAGCTGACAGCAGCGCTTAGAAGAGTTGCATTAGGGAGGTGAGGAGGGGAGGGAGAGGGGGCGGAGAGAGAGAGAAAAAAATATTAATGAAGCAAAGGGCTCTCTGAGTGCTAGCGTGGATTCAAGGTGGCTTGTCAATACGATAGTATGTGGAGTGAGAGAGACAGAGGGTGTGAGTGTGTGTATGGAAGGGTAAAGGTGGCTCGGAACGTTAACCCTTTACTGACAGACTACGCAGCAATAATAAATAATAATCATCCTTGCATTTGATATAGCGCCTTATCACGTCGTCGAGACGTCTCAAAGTGCTCCACAAAATATGCTGTAAAGTGAATTGACAGTGTATTTTGTGGGCGAAAAACGCAGTAGCTAATTTGCGCACAGCAATAAAACAATAAAACAGGGAAAGCAGGGAGGTTAAAAAGGACAATGCAAAGAAATCTGCGTACTCCATGTGAAATGCCATGTCGATTGCACCTGTGCCTCTGAGTTACAAGGTTGTGGGTTCAACCTTGAGCCCCCACCACACCCACCACCCCCAACGTGGGACTTTGAGCTCACACACCCAGCGCCTTGGGACATCCTACCAACGTGAAAGTCGCTACACAAATGTAATTTTGTTGTTGTTGTAGGCTAAGGTGAACTTTAAAGAGCTCGTGGCACTATTCGAAAAGAGAAGGACGTTTCTGCCGTGCTCTGCCAATAATCCCCCAAATAAAATTGGTCACTTGCTTCCTGACTGTTTGTGGGGCATTGCTGTGGACAAATTATTTGCCACATTTGCCTATGAATCTACAGTCATTGCATTTTACAGTAAATCCTTGAGATATTTCAACACCATGATAAGGCACTATATCAAAGCAAGGATTAATTATTATCATATTATTATCAGCCACAACCCACCACAGAGTGTTTAAAAGGTCTTTGTTTATTGTTTGTCCCACAGACCACTTGCAGAAACGCAATGAAATAACACTTAAAACTGAAATGTCTGGCTTCAGTGTGGCTTTGCTTCGCTGGCCAATCTCTCTCTCTCTCTCCTTTTTCTCTCTGTATCCCCTTTGCTTGCCAGGCTCCACTGGCTGCCTGACTCTGAATGGATCGATTTGAAGTTCCTCACCCTTCTACCCTAGCACTAGGCTGGGTTATCTCTCTGACCTGCTTGTACCCCAATACCCTGTCCGCTTCCTTTGCTCATCTAACACAGGCTTGCTGTATATCTCCCACCCCTCTACATCACCATTGGTGGCTGAGGCTTCAGTCATTTGCCTCTAACCTCTGGAACTCCCTCCACCTTCGCCACTCTTTATCTAATTTTAAATCCCACTTAAAAACATTCCTTTTAGACTACGCCTATGGTTACCTCCCCCTCCCCCTTCTCCCTTGCTCAGCCTCCATCCCCGCCACTATGAAGTGCTCTGAAACATTATCCTGCATGAAGGGGGCTGTATATTTAAATGGCGGGTCACTCACCCACATGTTTTTCAGATGGTTATGACGCAGTCATTCACACAATCATTCATACAGTTTTCACATGGTTTTCACAGTTTTCTGTGGGGAATAATATTGGACATCTGAAAACCCAGGAATTGTGACAAAAAAAGTCAAAAAATGGATTCCTGCTTTTTGTCAAAAATAACCTTCCTCTCTCCCCCTTCCCCACTCACACACACACACGACTACAATTTTTTTTTGAATCTACGCCTGTTTGTGGGACACTGCTGAGTGTACTTGGCTGATACGTTTTGCCCACAAAATACAGTCAATTCACTTGACAGTATTTTCCATGAAGAGCTTTGAGACGTCTCAAAGACGTGATAAGGTGCTATATCAAATGCAAGGATTATTTTTTAAGAGTACCACATCAATGTCCTACAAACAGACACAAAACAGATGACTATATATATTTTTATCTGGGGTGGAAGGACTTGGTCAGGATACTGGGAAAAACTCCCTTTCACGAATGATTTGTCAGGAGCAAACAGAGGAACTGACGAGAACTCACCTCACAGAGACATTAAACTCCGTCGGGATGAAGGTTGGGTTCGGTAGGTGCCAAGTGCAGTAGAAACTGATGGGGTACGCACTTGATCTGCACATCACGTTTGGTTCCATTGGAGCATCTAGACACAAAGATAAGGAAGAAACTTTAGTAAAGAGTGAGTCGAGCACAACCTCTAACCATCATACAAGGATTATTATTAATTTATTATTATCATCATCGGGGCAGTTCATTAAGAATACAACTATCAGAAGTTCCCAATATCACAGCAACGACCCCACTTCATATCATCAAGTCAAGCATCCCCCCATTTACAAGGGTAAAACATTTTCTGTGTCAACTTAGCTCAGTCACAAGCTATATAAACGGTGTTATATCAAACGCAAGGAATATTATTCTTAAACTTGTAGGTAAAATTTGCAGTATTGCTTAATGCGTTCCTTAAACAAGTGCCAGTGTTAACTTAAAATTGGAGTAATTATCATGGTGACTGGGTGAGCCTAGGGTTCCAAGCTTACCACCAAACTTGCTGTGGTTCTTTGACTGGCCGCTAGTTTAAGGAACTCACAAGATTGGTTCAGATGAAGAAGGTCCTTGGGCCCAGCGGATCTCAGAACACCCACCCTCCCATCCTCCCATCACAACACCAATAGTCCCATGACTGTGCACAATTGACTGCCATGTTTCACCCACAAAATATACAATCACTTCACTTTACAGTATATCCTGTGAAGCGCTTTGAGACGTCTCAACAACGTGATAAGGCGTTTCATCGAATGCAAGGATCCTTCTTATTTTTTTAAATGAGCCTGGTCTCCTCATCTCAACTACCCATCCTGGCAATCTGTTCCAGTCATTGATTACCCTCTGCCTAAAAGAAAATATTGTGGTGTCTGTCCTGAAATTGCCCTTTGAAATTCTAAACCTATATCCTCTTGTTATTCTGTCTTGGTGAATCTTAAAATATTGTTCTGCGTTTACTTTTTCAACTAATTACCGTTTACAAATGTATATACCTCTATAAGCTCCACTTCGAGTCTCCTGTCAAGACTGTTTGTTTAGTAATATTAATAATCCTTGCATTTGATATTCTCAAAGTGTTTATCACATCATTGAGACGTCTTAAAGTGCTTCACAGAATATATTGTAAAGTAAATTGACTGTGTACTTTGTGGGCGAAACGCAACAGCCAATTGCACCTGGCAGTGCTCTACAAACAGTCATGGATTGAGTGACCACATTTTTGAAGAGATTATTACATCCGGAAAGAAATCTGGCAATCGATTAACAACCGGGTTCCTGCTTACTGCTAGGTAAACAGAGGCGCGTGGAGTAAGTAAACTTGCCTCAGGTTTCGCCCTGCCTGGGAATCAAACCTGAGGCGTAAGTTCTAACCACTACGCTAGAGGACCCCACATTAAGTCTGTCCATAGCCAAGATAGAAAGAGACAGAGAGGGAGGGAGTGAAAGTTTAGGATACCAAGATGCTACCTGCGAGAAGAGCACTATACATATAAAAGTTATCATTCATTCCTATAACACTGGGGAATCTGTTCCCCTGGGAATCATCCTCATTGCTCTCCTCTACACTGCCTCGAGCTGATGTGAGGAATGCTTTAAGGAACACCGCCAACTTCACCCCTTGTTATTTTACGCTCCTGTCTCGATCACTAGCGCATGCCGGTGGCACACATCCAAAAAAGCCGGCGGAAATGTGGGAACTTTGGTTATAAAATCTCCTCTGCATAGCCTCACCTGCAGCAGAGAGAACAAGTCAGTTACTCAGCCCTCTCCAGGATCAGAGATTTCCCTTTTTTTTTACAATTTCAGAAGTTTTGTTTGAAGAAAAGCCAACTTTCGATAAATATTTTCCTTTATACAAGGTCCATTAGACCGGAGAAGCTGAATGCTTAGCTTTGCTGATAAAAGCCACATTCAGGGGATTAAAGAGCCAGTCTGTCGTGCACGTGTTGGGAAGCTCATTTTGAAAAGAGTTCAAGGTGTTTTCACATCGCTGCATGAAAAAAATAACATAATAATAATCCTTGAATTTGATATAGCGCCTTATCATCTCAATGTCTCAAAGAGCTTCACAGCATATAGTGTAAAGTGGATTGACTGTGCTGCCAATCGCCCACAGCAGTGTCCCATACACAGTCGTGGATTGAGTGACAACATTTTTTGAGTGTTTATTACCCCGGATCCTCTCGCTTGCGAGGCGAGCACGCTAACTAACATCATGGGAGATAGTAATTATCTTTTCTTTTCTCTTTTTCTCACTTAAAAATAAACTGTCGGGCGGGCCTGTTATAAGATGTCATGGTTGAGCACAGGTTTGTTTATAGCACAGTTATATATTACATATATTATGGCATGGATTATCTGTGAACCAGTGCTAAACCCCTGTGGAGTCCCATAGCATAGTACTTAGCATGTCCGCCTCGCAAGCGACAAGACCCTGGTTCGATTCCCTAGCAGTAATTAGGAACCTAGGGAGAACTTCCATGAGGTTGGTGTGTTTATTGTGAGGCTAAGGGATTATATTTCAGTCAGTTTACGGGGGGCAGGTGAATTCTTAGGGTAATAGCTCGGGTTCTGGGATTTAGGGCTGGGGGATTAAGGGCTGGGCTGGGAGATTTAGGGTTCTTTCAGTGAAATGTCTCAGAGTGCTTCATGCAGCGAGTTTCTTTGAGTGCGATTCCTGTTCCGATGGAAAATTCCTCCCTTGATCAGCGAGGAAATAAATGACCAAATTACTCAGCATCTTAGTAATAAATAGCAATCTTTACATTTGATACAGCGTCTTTGACGTCAGAAGGAGGTCTCAAAGCTTTTTACAGGAACCACTGAAAAGTGTAGAGGCTGTAGAGGCTGTGGGTGAATGCAGCAACCAAACTGTGCTCAGCAATGTCCCACAAACATTCATGGAGTAAGTGACCAATTTTATCAGGGTGATTGTTGGTCAGGACACCAGGAGAGAGAAACTCTCTTCTCGAATAGTGTCATCAACCCTGGTCTCGGTGACTTTTGGATGAGGGAAGATCAGTGCCCCGGGACGTCCTCCCGACGTGAAAGGCGCTATACAAATGTAATCTTGTTGTTGTTATTGGTCAGAACCCAGCGAGAAACACTTGCTTTTCTATGAAACAGTGCAATGAATCTAGCTGAACGGACCTCAGGGTTATGTCTGACTCAAAGGACGGCAACTCTGACAGTGCTGAGCTCCATCAGTATCAGCCTGTGCTGTCAGTCTGCATTCACAGCTCAAGCCCTGGGTGGGACTGGAATCCATAACCTTGTGACCCAGAGGTGAGAATGTTACCAACCGAGACAGACAGCTCTTTATTGTGGGGAGGGAGAGGGTGGGCAGAGCGTTATAAACACTCCCTTAGTAAAACATAATGACGTACTGTGTAATTTGGACCAGATACACCACTCATTATAGTTATGTAGAATATTGTCGCTGAAAACAGCTTCTCAAAGTTCAAAATGAATCTCTGGCAAGAGTATCACTTACAATGCAACCTAAGTGCATGTAGTGCAGGAATGTACGACTTTGTAAGAATCTCTGCAGATTCCAGTGTCACAGCGTCACCATCCTAACTATGGAAAGCAGAGGTACTGTAATGCAGTCACTAATCCCATCACAGATCTTTCCATTCTTATCTGCTGTCTGAGCTTCTGACATCTATCAGCCACTCTACCCCCAGACTCTGGAACATCTCGCATCCCTCTGCCTTGCCATTTTCCCATTTCTTCCCATTCCCGCCCCATTTTCAAAACCTGCCTTAGACCTATCTTCAACTACGTTTCTGATCAACTTCTCTCCACCAAGCTCGTCCTGCTAGTCAGCCATTGTGAAACGCTATGAGACATTATACAATAATAATAATTTGGTCACTCAATCCACAACTGTTTGTGGGACACTGCTGTGCAATTGCAATTGACTGCTGCGTTTCGTCCACAAAATATACAATCAAATTTACTTTACAATATATTCTGTGAAGCGCCTTGAGACGTCTCGAAGACGTGATAAAGCTCTATATCAAATGCAAGAATTAAAATACTATCCAGCACCTTGGGCAGTCCTCCCGATGCAAAAAGCACTATACAAATGAAATTTTGTATTATATTTTACTGCACAACTTACATTTATATGCTTCAGGAGGATGTCTCAAAGCACTCAACTGGTGGTGGGAGCCGAAGGGGATAGGAAGGGGAAAGCTGATCAAAAATGTGGTCAAAAAGGTACATCTTGGGACGGACTCCAAATGAGGTGAGAGAGAGCATTCGATAGACTCTGTAACATTCTCCTGATGTGAAAGGTGCTTTGTAAATTTGAATTATTGCGGTATCTTGCCTTCCTACGGAAAGACTTTAAACCGTGATACACTCTACCACTTCAAGAAAAAGTAAATACAACAACAACTTGCACTTCAATAGGAATGAAGACTTTGATGGGAGCCAAGAAGTATGGCTTCCGTCTTGTCCACATTGAGCTGCAGGAAATTTGCACTCACCCAGGCCCTGTTTTCTGACAGACAGGCTGATAGAATACTGGCGGACCTGGAGTTGGTACTGGAGGAGGCAAAGTAGATTTGTATGTCATCTGCATTCGTGTGGAAGTTTACCCCGTGTCTGATGACATCGCCCAGACGGAGCATATAGATAAGGGAAAGAGGGACAAGTAAGGAGCCCTGGGGTACCCCGCAGGTGACCGGGTTGGGGGCGGGAGTTGAAACCGTTCGCTGAGATGAAGTGGAGGTGGTTGGTTCAGTAGGACCCAAACCATGCGAGTGTGGTCCCACAAGGTAGATGAGGGAGGAGAAGCGGTGGAGGAGGATTGGGTGGTCGACCGTATCGAATGCAGTAGAGAGATCCAGGAGGACGAGGAGGCAGAGGGAGCCCTGGTCACAGATAGAGAGAATGATGTTTGTGACTTTGATAAGTGGTGTCTCTGTGCTGTGAGCAGGGCAAAAGCCAGACTGCAGGGGCTCAAGGAGGGAGTGGAGGGAGAGGTGTGACCAAAGTTGACCTGCAACAATGCAACGAAAGTTGACCTGCAACCAAGAAGTCTAGGACCTCTTCGCACTTGGCGTTTGAGTGAGGATAGAGGAGACT